GTGTGGATCCACCAGAGAAACATATGCTGTGCTGGTGATTGCAGAAGAATTCCAGGCCTAATGTACCCTATTTCTACCTGCACATTTTCCAGGCAAAAGTTACTGGGAGAAATAATGAACTTGTACTCCCCCTCATGGGGGGAGTCATAAATCCACGCCAAAACCTGGTCTCACACCTGCTTTCTTTCTCTTTTTCTTTTCCCCAGTAAGTGAAAATGGTGACCACCTAAGCGCAAGGATGAGACAAGAACACAGTTGTGGGGGAGAAGTCTCTCTGCTCCAGAACTATCCGAAGAAACTTGGCTGAGCCCCATGACACACAGAATAATAACCAACTGGACTTAGGAGTCTATAAGGCGTTAGGGAGCCTTGCTCCATAGGCTAATCAGCAGATGGGATGTGAAAATACCACACTATTCTGTCATTTGCTGTTGCTTGCCGACCTGTGAAGAACTGCATGAGCTGTATTTAAGCTGCTCTCTCTACCGTCGCCAATCACCTTTTTGGACTGGGAAGTGCTATTTTGCTATGGACTCTTGCATTACTTCATTTTGCATGCATCCAGTGATTATACACAAGCAACATATGTAATCTGCTATCATATTTTTAAGAAAATCCATCCATGCAAAATGGTAAAGTATAAATTCTGCTCTTTTTTTGCAAAATTATAATCATAGTTCATGTCATTGAAAGTTTAAATTGGTTTCATTAAAAGATCAGTGTAATAGGTCTGCCTATACTTTATAGAAAACTAGCTTCTATAAAGGTTTTTTCACTGTTTACTAGTGAAATGAGAAAAGCAAAGCTATTTATAAAAGGCCTTATGTCATGTACATATATTGTCTCTGAAATATTTGTGATTTAGTTTATTGCTTGTAAAAGAGAAATTATATAATTTATTTAGTAAATACTACTGTAAACTATAGTTTTATTGAGAGAAATAAAATATTTTGTTCTCAATTGTGGTAGTACATTGATCCTAATGATTTATGGTCTTTATGATTCTTTTATTAAAAAGAAGCACAAAAAAAATTTTTTTTTAAGAAATACAAGGGTACTTCAAAAAGGTCATAGAAAAATAGAATTAAAAGGTAATGCGAATCTTTTCATGAACTTTTTGAAGACCCCTCATGACTCAGACACTCCTGATTTTTAGATTTGGGAATCCTAGAAAAAACTGAATTTTATGACAAATGAAAGTGGAAAGATAAAATTCTCAGCCCTGAGAAAAGACTCAATCGCAGATTCTGCTCAACTCATTCAAGAGACTTTCCCAAATATCCTGATGTATTAGTCAGCTTTCACTGTGTTATGCTGTGGTAACAAACAATCCCAAAATTGTAATAGCTTTCACCAACACAGTTTTATTTCTCACTCACATGTGTGGACCAGCTGCAGCTCTGCTCCAAGTGTCTTCATTCTGGGATCGAGAACAGTCCCTATCTGGGGCATGCCACTTTTATGGCAGTAGAAAAAGAGCAGTGGTGGAACCAAGAAATGAGAGCTCATAAGGTTTCTCTTAAATACAGCTTGCAGTACTATGGCTCACATTCCACTGGCCACAGCAAGCGGCCTTGATATGCCTGAAGTCAAAGGGTGAAAAGTATACTTCTCACATAGGAATGGACTCAGCAGAGAGGGGCAGCAAATATTTTAAACAGTTAGTGCAATTTACGCCACCTGGTGAGTGTCCCACAAAGACTTTGGGAAAAAAATCATTAGAAAGCAAAATGATCAAGGCTGCAGAAAGACATTCCTGATGAGTAAGATGCTCAGTGTAAAATACTTCAAGTTAAAGTAAGCTGATTCTTATAAGCAAACAGAATATAAACTTTTGTAAATGCAGCCTGGAGTCATGGTTACTCAGCATAAGCAGTAATTTTACCTGCAGAGTCAGTGCTGGGAATCTATTCTGGGTTAGGATATCAGCAGGAAATTCTGCTGAAGTGGATGATCGAGGATTCTCTGCCTTGCTCTCTCCAGTATTCATATGTGCTAGCAGACACATTCCCTCACCACATGGGTTTATCTAGCTGGAATACCACCACTCTTCACCCTTCCATTTGCAAATCTACCTATTTGTCTAAGCAAGGGTACTTAGCCCAGGACCCACTGATTGCTAGGAGAATCACAGATGGATATGAATAGGGCTATGAAATAATATATACAAGTCGAGTATGCCTTTGTGTATATGGGTTGTTTGTTGTTTTGTTTTGTTTTTATTATTAAGAGAATGGCTATAATTTTCATCAAATTCAGAGTGATCTGGACCCAAGAAATGTTGAAAATCATTATTTTAAGGCCTAAGTCAAATGCCATTTCAATGTCACGAACCTGTCTGTGATCTCCAACCCTCCACCCCCACCTGAGTCACCCTTGGCCAGCCTGTAGTTATCTCACCTGTCTCAGAAAACCCCAACACTTTGTAGCCTGTTGTAATGAGTGAGGTATAACTTACATATACCAGAGTGCACAACTGTTAATTACATAGTTCAATGAATTTCTACTACGTTTACACCTATGTAACCAGCATCCAGAGCAAGATTAGAACATTCCCAGCTAACCCACAGGTTCTTTCGTGTACCCTGTCCGTCAACACCAACCCCATAGCTAACTATTATTATGACTTGTACCATCATGCATTAGTTTTGCCAGTTCTGAACTTCATATAAATGGAATCATACAGTATGTACTTTTTATCTGGCTTTCTATTGCTTTTCAACACTATTCTTTCATTTTTTGTGCAATGGAAGCTCTTTTTTTTTCATGGCTGTGTGGTATTCCGTTTGTCTTAGTCCATTTCTGCTGCTATAACAAACTACTCAAGATTGGGTAGTTTGGAAAGAACAGAAATTTATTTCTCACAATTCTGGAAGCTGGCAGCCGAGATGAGGTGCTGGTAGGTTCGGTGTCTGGTGACTTCTGCTTCCAAGATGTCACCTTTTGCTGCATCCTCCAGAGGGGACAAATGCTGTGTCCTCCCATGGCAGAAGGGACAGAAGGGCAAAAAGGGGTCTAGCTAGTTCCTTCCAGTCCTTTTATAAGGTGCTAATCCCATCCATGAGGCAGAGCCCTCATGGCCTAATCGCCTCCTAAAGGTCCCACCTCCTAATACTGTTGCACTGGGGATTCGGTTTCAACAAATGAATTATGGGAGACACTTTCAGGCCGTAGCACTATTGTACGGACATGCCACAATTACCTACTCTACTGCTGACAGACGTTTGGATAACTTCCAATTTGGGGCTATCAGCATGCACACTGAGAGATGAATAATGAGCCCCCCAGGCCTGTTCTTGCACGCAGCTCCCAGATGCAGACAGTTAGACATGTAGCACCCATGCTGGACATGGAAGAATTTTCCCTGAGAAATATCACTATCAGGAAGTATGCTGTCATCCTCTAATTTGCCTGGAATAGTCTGAGTTTATGCTTGACACTCGAGCATAGTAGGATGCCCTTTCACTCTCAAAAATGTTCCATTTTGGGGCCATCAATTATGCAGTTATTCTACCAAAGGGAAAAGTGTAAAGATAATAATATTGGAAATTTCCCGACAATTGACTCAGCCAGGACACCCTACATTGAGGTTCAGCTGCAGGCCCCACCCATGTACTCACAGCATTTAGTCCCCGCTCTTAGTGAGCAGCCAACCTAGGATCACAAGAATCTAAGGAATTCTCTAAAATGAGACTGAAATATACAAACAGGAAAAAACAACAACAACAATAAAACAGGTTGGAGGAAATAGAAACTATGCAGGTAGAAATAAACTTTAAAACAAATGAAAATTGTTGTTACTAGAGGTGGGAAAGGAGGACAGAGAGGGGGATGAGGGAGTAAGTGGGTAAAAAAAAAAGTTAAAGAAAATTTCCAAAGAGATTAAAAACAGAAAAGAGTGAAGAAAATTTGAAGACCATTCCAGTTGATCCAACATGCAAATAATAAGAGTTCCAGAAAGAGAAAAGAGGCAATGGAAGTGAGAAAATCATCAAACAAATAATTCAAGGAAATTTCCAAAAAAATAAGGTCACACATGGATTTCCACATTGAAAGGGGTCTGAGCACCCAGCACAGTGGATGAAAATGATCATGGACCATGCAATTTCAGAACACTGGTTATGACAAAAAGATTCTACAAGCTTCTAGAAAGTAAAAATTAATTTTATATAAAGGCTCAAGAATCAGAATTGTATCAAATTTCTCAATAGCATCACTGGAAACTAGAACCAATGGAGCAATGCCTTCAGAATTCTGACAGAAATTTATTTCTAATCTATATTCCTATACTGTATGTATTAAGGTTCTCCAGAGCAACAGAACAGGAGAGATACAGACAGAGGTACAGATGAGGATAGATTAAGGTATAGATTATTAAGGGTTTATTTTAAGGAACTAGCTTGTACAATTGTGGGGATGGGCAAGTCCAGATTCCACAGGGCAGGACAGCAGGCTGGAAACTCAGGCAGGGGTTGATGGTGCAGACTTGAGGCAGAATCTCTTCTTTCTGGGACACCTCATTTTTTGCTCTAAGAACTTCCACCTGATTGGTGGGGCCCACTCATATTATCAAGGTAAACTTTTTGACTCAAAGCCAACTGATTGTAGACCTTAATCACGTCTACAAAATACTTCAACAGCAACACCTAGATTAGTATTTGATTAAATAACTTGGTATCCTTGCCTAGCCAAGTTGATACCTAAAATTAACCATCACTCCTGGAAAACTAGTAAAATGTGAATGTACAATAAAGTTATCTATGGAAAAATTGTTTTCCATATTCTCTTTATCTGGAAATCCAAAAAGATGTGCTTTACAAAACTTAGACAGTAGACCAAGAAAGAGGAAGCCATGAGATCTAGAAGACAGAAGATCCAACCCAAAAGGAAGGTGAAGGGAATTCCTAGGGTGATGGGAAAGGGAGATGACCATTGATGGCAGCTGTGGAGGCCACCAAGAAAACAACCAGTCCAGCTTGCAGCAGACTGGGCACAACTGCTCCAAGGCCATGAAGATACCCAAGAGATTTACACAACCAGGGGAGAGAATTTTAATTCCAGATATCCTGGATTTGATTCTGGAACAGAAAAAAAAGGACAGTAGAAAAACTGGTGAAATCTGAATAGAGTCTGGAATTTAGTTCACAGTGATATACAAAGGTTAACCTGTCAGTTTTGACAAATGTGCCACAGATATATAAGATGTTAGCGTTAAGAGAACCTGGGTGGGACTGGCAGGTTAGCTAAGTGGTTAGAGCGTGGTGTTATAACACCAAGATCAAGGGTTCAGATCCCCATACCCGCCAGCCGCCCCCTCCCCCACAAAAAAAGAAACACTGGGTGAAGAGTATAGAGGAACTCTGTTCTACCTTTGCAAATTCTCTGTAAATCTAAAATTATTCCCAGGGGGGAGAGGGAGGAGGGAGGGAGGTTTCGGTGATGGGCTATAATAACCAACTACATTGTATATTGACAAAATAAAAATTCAAAAAAAAAGTTTAAAACCAAAAATAAAATAAAATTATTCCCAAAATGTTCATTAAAATTGAAAAAATGGGGAAAAAATTAAACGACAGTTCATCAAAGAAAATATGTAGATGGCAAATAAGCACAAGATGCCACACACCACTAGTCATTAGGGAAATGCGAGTTAAAACTACAGTGAGATACCACAACACCTATTAAAATGACTACATTTTTTTTAATTGATAACACCAGGTGCTGGTGAAAAGGGAAAGCAACTGGAACTCTCATATATTGCTGGTAGGAATGCCAAATGGTACAGCCACTCTGGAAAAGTTTGG